ATTCTCCTGCCTCAACCTCCTGAGTAGCTGGGATTACAGGCACGCGCCACCATGCCCAGCTAATGTTTTTTGTAATTTTAGTAGAGACGGGGTTTCACCATGCTGACCAGGATGGTCTCGATCTCTTGACCTCGTGATCCACCCGCCTCGGCCTCCCAAAGTGCTGGGATTACAGGCTAGTTTCTAACATTTCTATAACAGAAACCCTGCATTGATTTTTTTGTTTGTACATTTCTTCTATCATCCACAAACATAAAAAATACTGAGAGGGAATCAAGACTTCTTCACAAAGTATAATAAACAACTGGGAAGACATAATGTGGTGAAAAATCCCTTTCTCAATTTGTCAGAACATTCCGTATAATTAAATCTGTGCTTTCACCTCTCTCCTCTTCTCATTCTCTGTAAAGATAAGAACGCCTCCCATAACCACGTGGTTAAAATGTGCTTTCATTTCAGGGTCCATTGACATTCAGAGATGTGGCCATAGAATTCTCTCCGGAGGAGTGGAGATGCCTGGAGCCTGCTCAGAGGACTTTATACAGGGACGTGATGCTGGAGAACTACAGGAACCTGGTCTCCCTGGGTGAGTCCAATTTCCTCCAGAAGCGGGGACGTGCCCTTGCTTATCTTTGTATTTTCTCTTGTTGCCTCTTGGGAGCCGCGTCCTTGCTTTATAGTGGGAAGAGAGCTGGAGAGGCCGGCGGGGTTGCAGGAGAATTTTATTTAATGTGATCATGGGCTCAGCAGAATTGCTTCCTAATTCTGAGCAAAGGACAAAGAAAATGGGGTCCCTTTTATGCACCTATATGGTACAGGATGACAAAGCAGGAAGTAGGTTTATAGAAGCTAAAACAAAGAACAGTTCATCAACATGTGTCATGTCTTGTGATGCACTTTACATTTGAAAAGTAACATTTTGAGAAACACATTCTGCAGTTTTGAGCTTATCTGCTCTGTGACCTTGCATCTGGTCAGTAAGCAAAAGAGAAATTTTTAGATGGCTGGGAACTTTGCTAAATGAGGGGAGGACAGATAAGGTTAAATGGTTTGCAGGAAAGCAGTTAATATTCTGCTTCAACAGAGCTGGGGAGGTATCATATTAAACAGGACACAGTGCAGCAAAATTTACTTTATTATATAGCAGCTGCAAATTACAAGGTTTTGTTTTGCCATTATTGTGATTGTTTCGTTCTCTTCTTTATTCTCCTCTTTGTTGCTTTTTATGAATAACACTTTAATAGAAAGCTACACCACCACTGTAAGCATCTAATTACTGTTACCTTTAGAGGTATGCCATTTTTGGTTTGTTTTTCTCTCCTTTTTCCCTTCTTCTTTTTCTTGGTTTAATCTGATTGGTCTTTCTTT